CCCCAAAACCCCAAAACCCCAAAACCCCAAAACCCCGGGACGAGAAAGCAATGTTGATGGTAAAGCTTAGTACATTCTTATCCAATTTTTTAATCAAACTCGATAGCTATTGGGATTCATAATGAAATTCTAATTTCCCTCTCTTTATGATTCTCTTAAAAACCCCATTCAAAAAGAAAAGATTTATGAAAATGAGTGATTTTGTAGATGAAACAAGAAGATTTATTCGAAATCAAAGATAAACTGGTCCATAGATAAGATATGATCAATACTCTTTTTCAGCTGAAGCTCTATAAATTACACCACTCACGTTACCATTCAAGACAGGAAGATCAATTCTATTGAAGCAAGTATGGGCTCGAATAAATCCATGGGAAGATTTTATCAAATTTACAGTAAACAATCAAGCTTCCTGTCTGTTGTTTTTCAGGCTTTTAAAACCATCGATTGGGATACTTCTTCACCCAGTTGTAAACTGCAGGAATTTTAGTAATTCATCGTCCTTCAGCCCACTAATTATCTTCCAAAAGGCTAAAACAGTAGGATGGGTTTGGCATGAGCCTTCTCCTTTGTAAATAGTATTGGACTTCCAATCTTCAATATCAATTTCTGTTTTGCCAACAAGTAGCTTTTTCAAATCATCAATGGATAAAATGTTGAGAAGTTTCTTTGGGATTACCTCATTGAGACCCTCCAAAAATGCTGAAACCTGCGGATGAGCCTTATGGTAACCATAGTATTCCAAGAAAAGGTTAATATAAGCATGTTTCGTATAGTTATTGACTTTGTATTTGTTACCATCTTTGATTAACTCGAACATTCCTTCATCCTTATCTTGCACAGTAAAGTTCATGTTCAATTCGTTCTGATCAATCACATTGCTTTGAATGTAATTAAAGGAGCTACAGATACTCTGGTCGTATGTCATTGAGTCCTTTATCTCAAATTCTTGAGATAGCATGCACTTTAGGATGAAATTCGTAAACTTTGGCTCTAATGGTATGTCTTCAAACAAAGCTTTCCCAACTATCTGGCCCACAAGCTTGCATATTTTCAGAGAAGATGACTTTTTAAAATGGTAATACACTTCATCTCCTGATTTTCAAATACCTAAAGAGGTTAGTCATGAAACAACTAGAGCTAAAAGATATCTTTGAGACAATATAGAGTTCTATTTTTGCCACTATTTAGAATAATCAATATCAAAACTTCATAAAATTTTCACTAAAATACATTCTAGAAAATCACCATTATCAAAAATTCAAAATTTCCAATTTCATTTCACTTACTAATTCCAAAAGAATCACGATTTTCACTATTGTCAGATTCAAATGGCGCACTTTCGCTATTTAATTTGCGCTTTGGGCTACTGTTCCTAGGACTTCCTGGCTTCAAGGACGCCTTCTCATCTATCATTTGCTTAGACTCTTCCAAAGGATTAGTCAAACTCTTGGACCTCTGTTGCCTGCTCTCTTTATCAAGCTGAGAGCTCTCATTTCTGACATTTTTCTCATCTGGGTTGGAAAAAATTGTTTGGACTAAAGATTTTCAGACTGTAAAATATTATAAGACTTACTCAAGTGGAAAATCCATTCCTTAAGGACACCGCCTGCATCTTGGGCTTCCTCTCCGATAAAGAAGATCTTCACTTCTTTATGAAAACTGAAGCCATCCATCGACTCGATCTGGTTGATGGTATCAGAGATGATATTCTTCCGATCAATGACCAGAGTTATAGAATCTACCATGAAGGGAACCCTACTCTTCTGAAGCTGTCTCTTGAAATATTGGATACGCTCTTCAGAAGTCTGCAAGTTGTTCCTGTTGAGTCTTTTAGATCGCTTTAAGGAAGATATAATCTCCCTTTTTTTAAGATTGGAGCTCGCGTAAATTTGATCAACTGTAACACCATAATCCGTCTCTTTTGAGTGAGGTAGCGAAATTGTGTACCTTTCCATTCTCTTTGTCAGTGCCTCTTGTCCATTAAAGTCATTGGTTGGGAAATTAGAGTTTTCTTCACCTTGACGAGACCTGAAGCTTTTCCTCTTAAGAAATTTAAAGTCCTGGTCATCTAAGTCCTCTCCAGGGGTTGGTGTTTCATTTGCCATATCAATCTCATCACCTTCTCTGGCTGTCGGGTTTATTTTCATCCGTGACATCGGCTCATTCCCAAGACTACCTGCTATAAAACATCATTTCCGCTCTAAACCCTTTTTGACTTACAACTTTGATTGACTAAGAGCTCATCTTCTTCTTTATACTGTCTATTTCAGCACTTTGCCCAGCAAGGACCCATATTTAAAGTTTTATTACAGATTTTGCACCAGCACAAATTGTGTTGGGGTTTTGGGGTTTTGGGGTTTTGGGGTTTTGGGG